GATAGCGTTTAAGAGGAACAGCATGTGATGAATTCTGTGTTTATCGTGCGAAAAAGCGGACAACGTGTAGGTTGCCATCATAGGCAGGAAACGGGCCCGATCGTAGGCGACATATGGTAACCAGCGGGCAGTACAACTGTTCCATGCGGTCAACGCACTGCGCATATTCTGGTTGAACTGTACGGGCAGAACAAAACAATCAGGATAATTGGGCAACCACCACAGATTACGCAAATACACGCACCTCAAACTCGGTGATATCCACATTGCTAACCAAATCAAACTTGGGTTTCGCCAGCTCGTCGTATCCATTAAAACCCAAGCCGGAAGCATTGACCATGGCATCCGCTACGATAGCAAAATACCAGTTTGTTTTAGTTATTTAATTGCCGAATTTACATTATAATCAGCATCATGCTCCTCTTTCGAACATACCGCCATTTTCTAAAAGAGTGCTGTCTGAAAGCAAAAAGTGGATGTAAAATTTTACTGCACTTACAAAGCAGCCACGCCACAGAATACTTGAATCTGACAAACGTAGTCCCGATGAGCAGATAAAACATCAACTGGATCACAGACAGTTTACTCAAACTGCTTTCCTCTGCAAAAACATAATTACACTAGTGCAATTTATCCCCCGAACCAATTGGTAAAATGAATAAGATCAATAAATCACTCATCCTACCAGTCAACAAATCCAAAGGCACACCCGGCACGAGCATGATGTGCAAATAGCAGGCGAAAACTGCAGCCAGCACTTTCTTTGTCACTGCCGCACATCACGTTCAATCAGACTCCCTCCAAACAAATCAACACACAGAAAAAGATAAAGTATACCCTATCCGGCCACAATGGGGATGGATGGTACTGAGGCGGGGGCAGCATCTCGGCTTCCGTCACCTGCTCCGTGGACTGACTGGCTTTGCTGCCTTCCGACAAGGTCGGCACTTTCTTGACGGCATCCTCCATTTTCTTGTACGAACTAGGCTCAATACTATTACCCTCGATGAAGTCCATGTATTCATCGTAAAAACAGAAAGGTCCGCATAATAGGGACTGGAAACTGAAGACATAGGAAAGAAACTCCCAGTAATTGGGAGTTCTGCAAACGAAATGTAGAATATAAGGTCCAAGCTTCCAAGCTCCAGCGAACTGCTGCAAAAATGTAGTACCTAATGGCATGACGAGGCTGATCCGGCAGCATGAGTCTAGTGGGATCCTTCCCACCATCTGCGCTTCTAAAAAACAATTTTTTGAATAACAATAAAAAAAAACAAGAAACGAAACAAAACGTGCGCAGCGAAAACATAGGCCGTTATCTTCTGGACAATCACCATCATCGGCCTGTTTAAAGTCACCCTGCTATGTAGTATAGAACAGGAGTTGAAACAAAGGAAATCACTCCGCATGCAAAACGCAAGGAACGCTAAAGAGGATATAAACGGGGTTAGGGGCGTCACAATCAGCCTACACAACAGCAGGGGGCGAAAGTGTTAATCAAGTACACAAATTGCGTAGTGATTAGTGCAGTGTCTACCGCGATACTCAGCGTTAACTATTCACGAAATATGGTTATGCGCATGAAATCAATTAAGTTAGTTTGTAGTATTAGCAGATAATAAAGCCAGTGTGTGATTAGCACAAAGCATACGTAGAGCATCAACTTCAAAGGAGTATTAGTACTTATTTATTTTCTCAATATGTACAAGGCGAGCTTCACTCAACAAACATTATCAAATGAAGAATTTGCCCCAGTTAACATGGGAAGGGACCGTGCACAAAACACTCATTGCATTACCGCGCATAATCTCCAAACTTAAACGTTGAAACAAAAAACAAGTAGAGCGAAAAGTCTCACATACAAAAGCGATAAAATTACAGTGATCAGTAAGGAATATCGCAGGCCACCATCCAGCGAACTAAAATTCATCGTTGGCCTCGCCTTGAGGCCCCGGATTTTGCTGGCCCCTGTACACGGCAGGGGATTAAATTTCGATTAAAAATTAGCAGTAATAGTTATTTCGATTTTTATTCTTTTTACGTAAACACTATTTACGCAAATTTAGCCATAATTGTTGATACACTACTTGATAATTAAAATTTAAAAATTAGGAAATAACCATTTTTGTGCACTGACACATACCAGTTCAACTGATCATCCGGATTTGGTTGACCCTGTTGCAGCAGCTCAATTTGCTGCCGAAGTCGCGCGATTTCCGCATCTCTTGCCTGCACAGTAAACACACCAATCATTTCAAACCAAAGTACACTTCATCCAACCTGCTACCGATAGAGAAGTTTTCATGAACACAAGCAGCATTACTTCGCATTAAAGCAACACTGATTCTCTGCTTCAGAAACTGAGTGGACTGTTTCTCCTGTGTTCTCAAAAAGTACTTGTTACCAGGAAAATTTTAAATTTTTTAACGCATCGTTGACACGCAGAGCTGCATTTTAGCGAAGATACGTAAACACTGCAGCACTTAAAGCGGTTATTCCCGTGACGTACCGCAACTTCTCGCTCCCGGGACTCCAAAATATCCCGCAGTTCAGAGCTTTCTTGGTAAGCTTCTTCCAGGTCATACTCCTGATTGACCTCCTGCCGCTTAAGCGCACGATGTGCAACAAATGCCTCCATGGCTCGCTTGGACTGCTCGGCGGGATCCACCGTGGATTTCTGACCCCACGGCTCTGGACGTCGCTGCAGACGACGATACTTGAGGAATATCTCCATAAGATATTCCTCTACCATATCTTCAGGAAATAATGGAGCAGTATCCATGTTACTCCAGATAAAATATTTCAAGCCAAAAAAAAAGCAGTGAGATCAGAAACCTACTCCGTTGAGCAAAACAGATAAAACCTCAAAATAAAAACAAAAATTTTACCGGCGTTGAATTTTTGACTACTAGTCTACTGCTCTAGTTTGTGACAAAGGAGTGCACCAGGCACACAACTTTTCTTGTTACAGGGTATTTTAGGGTTGCTTCTCATTTATAGTTAACTACATGTATACTATATTTACAAGCGAATAAACAACAACGTTCTGTAATCAGTTCTTTTATTCCATTTTTAACAAGAAATTGGACTAATTGTTCTTCACGAACAATAACAAATTGCCCGCCTGACGGCGGCATGCACCACACACACAACAAATAATTTTATGGGAACCATCCAAGAAACCAACAAGTTTACCGCATTTGCATACCGCTCGTTGGAAATTGCCTACAAGAACAGCATTAACAGCTGTAACTTTGGTGATGGTCCGCGGTGCTGCCGGCGCAGCCGTCGTTGGTGCAGGCGTTGCAGATCCTTCCGTCGCACGGACCACCTTCCGCGGGTGCGAAGACTTTCTTGGTCTTTTCCCAGCCGGTGGCTCCGGTGCCAACGGAATCGGTCGAAACACTCTCTGAGTGGGCTTCCTTGGGTTCTTTTCCGGATGGCAATTCTCTCGCTGATGGCGGAGTAGGCCTCGTCGCACCATTTCATTCTTGCAGGCCGGGCAGGTGACGCGATCCATGTCGGCATGAACCTCCTTCTTATGACGCCGCATGTCATCCGCGCGTTGAAAAAATTTTTTACACTCCCCGCATTGATGCTTGCCGGGATTCATTGTAAAAAATAGAAATACTGACTAACACAAGTACAACAACTGACATTTCGAATTACTCACACACACTGATTTGGAATTTGAAGAAGAGCAAGATCGCAGGTGTTTGCACCCGGTACCAACGGTGCCAGTTTCCGTTAGCCACTGGACCAATTGCGTAATTTTGAATTTTGAATTTTAATATTCTATTGTTCGGTTTGGGGGGCGGGGCTTATCCGCAGCCAGCCAATCACGATTTTTCTGTCCGAATTATCGAAATTATTTTTTTCTCGCTGGAAATTCATTTTTTTAATCGAATTATTAATTCTATTTTTCCAAAACCATGTCACTAAAGATTGAAAGTAGCGGATTCCCATAAGCTAAAAAAGATCTTTGCTGCTCGTATGTAATTTGTAGTTGGATTTAACTAGCCTTAAATGATTTTTTTTCGTATCAAACTTCTCTTGTTGTGTGCGCGAAATTTTTAGGCAATACCCATCCAAATCAGACGCACGACGCCGGCATGCTTTAGAAATTAAAGGCTACGAAACAAACTACTGGTCCACGTTGTGTTTGAAGTACCCTTAAATATCAGCTTTACGGTTTGTTGTTTCTTTTGGGTATCAAATGCCTGGCGGAGAGCGTATTACGCTCAATGCACTCAAATATGTAATAGGAAAGGTGAGAATACTCTCGCTAATATGCTACGAATACCTTCTAAAATTTCTTTGCGGTGTATAGTAAAGAGCGTGTCGTAAAGTAAGGATCGATAATAAACGTAAATTCATGAAACTCGGAATTCGACAGCGGTTCTACCTGCATTATGTACTTTAAGCCTTTAACATCAACGTTAGGCCGGGGTAGGGAGCATTTCCAAATGACGCCATCTAGAAATGGTCAATTTTGTATACCCCGAATACCGCCTTCCAGGGTTCACCCAGTGGCGCAGGTGCCTGTCCCATAAACCGTACTCTCCCCCGTTTTTCATACTTTCGCAACGGCACAGCTTACCATTTCTAAATCACGTTTGGCCATAAATTTGCGAGGTGCCGCTCCTTAAAATTGTTGATGTGATTTGGAAATGTTCAAGGTCAACATGGGCATTTTGTCGGAGGACGATGTAAAGAGTACGTACGTACACACCGCTGGTCCGGTGCAGTGTCTCGCTGTCTGTTTTTCACTCTTTGGGGTGCGCTAGCTAGGACTGGCTCAATCCGCTAGCTCAGACTGCGCCGTCTGGCCTGCCACGTACTGTACAGTGTACAGTACATTGTCACGCATGAACACGTTTCCATGAACAATACCGTGTCCATGCTCACATCACTTTCGTATTCACTGTACAATTGTATGGGCAAAACAGTTCACGAAAATCCGGGACCCGATGTGTGTTTAAGAGTTTTGATTAGCAGATTTAGCTCGCTCATTCATAACTGCCACGCCAGTAGCATCTATCCAGACTTAAATTTTGCGAAGTTTTCAAGGGCCTTCTGAAATCTCTGTTTTCAAGGTCCGCAAGTAGCGAACCATTCATCACATCCATCCGCAAGTAGCGAACCATAGCTTACCATCTGTATGATTCATCAACAGCTTAACAGCGACATCATGAGCCAAGAACCGCGTTTGGAGACTGCGGGTCAGACAGTAGCCGCCGGTGATGTCATCATGGAGCGCGATCCATGGGTGTGGGCCTTTCACTGGGATGGTTACCAGGAGTATTGTGCCGGTTGTTTTTATGCGGTTTCGTTGCGAACGTCTCAGTCGTTGCTCTGTCCAGGATGTCAGGTCCATCGGTACTGCAGCGTGAAATGTCAGGTGCGTGCATTTGTTTATGCTTCAGAGAGCCTCAAGTGTTATGACTCCGATCCGCTGTTAATTCGTGATTTTTCCTAGAAGATCGTTAGTACTTCTGTTTAACAACATTTATCCGGGTACATTACAGGATACTGATTGGAAAACGGAGCATAAACATGAGTGCACGCTGATGAAGCGCCTGAAAGACTATCGTCTGCAGTTAGAGCGCCAACGGGAACAGCATTCTGCCAGTCAACCACAAGGAGATAAGACGTTCTTGTTCTCCATGTTCACCGTCATGAACCTCAAAATCCAGAACAAAATTCAGGTTCGCGTGTTATTTGGCTATTTCGTATGTACATAATAATGAGAAAAAATTAATGAAGAAAATTAATGAAATCTAATAATGTAAGATCTAATGATTAAGAAATAATTATGTGAACGGCTTACGCATACATATAATTCAGTATTAATGATTATAGATAGTACTTTTTACCGGCTGTTTACTACTGGTTTATATCATTAACTGTACATTGACGTAATGCGACACTCATCGCCGGTTATTCACTTATTACTGCCCCGCTTAGAAATCCGTTAGCGACCGGGTTCCCGGGCTGGACGGCACACGATCCGCCAAAGAAATCCTGCAGCTGTTTGACAGAGAACTATCGGCGAAGGAAGCGCCGAAATCCACGGAGTAAGTTTTCGATGGACCCGGACTCATACTGCAACGGTGCCGATTATCTCGCAGTAGCTTGTCAATAAAACCGTTGGGTATGATTTTGTAGGCTCATGCAGTCCGAGGTCTTCAAAGGCCTGATCAGTGCGATGTACCCAAAAGCCGCCGATCGACCAGCTGCGAACGATTCCATCGACATCCAGCTGCGCATCCTGCAGCACGCTTACCCGTTACGCGACTACCTCAGCGGTGATCGCACTCCGCAGCCCATTGGCGCGGGACTGTTTGTGGGGGTGAAAAAGAGCGACACCACACCCCCTTGTCTGGATTACAATGCCCTGCCGACTTTCCAGGGAAAGACATTGCGTTTGGTGGCTATGGATGACATTGTGGGGTTCCGCGAACTGAACGATGTACGATGACAAAATCACTGGGTTCTTCCCTTTCACGTCAGCTTTAACTAATTTCCAACCAGGCGTTTTTTTGCAGACTCGTTGGTGCAATCCCATGGCGCTTGACTATATACTCCCCCTAAAACAGCGCCGCGAGTACTTTCTGCGCATTCACGGAAGCCCTTGTCACTGCCGCAAATGCACACCGGGATACGTAAGAAATTTTTCAAATACCGTACTGTAGATATCGAAATAAAAACTTTGGGTGATAAAAATTTGGAGAACCTCATGAGTCATGGGCTTATTATACTGCGCGGCTCTAATACTTTTCGAGCGAACTTTCTAGACATGGGTTGATAACTTGATAGAGGTACTCTCAGTTACATATCGTCATCGAAAACCTTCACCGGTGTAATTTCTTCAACTGCAGCACGGTTTTGTAGATTTTCTTGCGATTTTTGTACATCCGTATAGGCATTTAAATTGAAGTTTACTTTAACTGCAGTGATAGTACCATAAAAGTACGAGCGCAAGGGATTACAAAATATTTTGCCATGCTTTTAAGTGTAGCCGTTCGGCTTGTATTTCGGGAGAGCATATAATTTCCGAGCTTTCTCTAGAGGGGGATGTAATTATGGAGAGGGGCTTATAACACTGCGAAGTTGATACGATTTGCATTGCTTTTAACTGCCAGTATCTGTACTAAATATTTGAATGTCTACACGTTTTGCAGGAGGCGGAAATCAACCCGTTGAAATGTGTCACCAAAGACTGCCAGGAACGCATTCCCAGTGACGAGCGCGCTCTGCTGCCGTGTGCACAGTGTGGCGCGGTCAATGACAGCCGGCTGCGGGCGCTGCGTAGTTTTATGGAGAAGTACGAAGATGTCTTCCAAATGTGTCTTACCGCCGAATTCACGAGCGATAACCGGCTGAACGAGGTGCTGCAGTTCCGCAAACTCGGGGTGCTCCAGGAGATGGACGCCGGCGAGCTCTTACATCCGGAAGCGCATCTGCGTTTCATCTGTGCCTGGGCGGTGACGGATGTGTACGACAAGCAGAAACAGTTCGCCGAGAACTGGGCGCTGTATCAGGACTGTATGCGCTGTACACGGTACGAGAACAGTAAAGCACGTCCATGTTTTTCGGATTAGGGACGTGAGGTACATGACATTGTATTTATCCACCATGTTCCACAAGACAAACGATTTTCAGAAACTGATTATATATGAAATTATTGTTTTTATATCAGCTTATATATTTTTTTACCAGTACACGAGATTCATAAACATTATCAGGTCGTCTACAGTGCAATAACCCAGAGCATACCGCGTCTCTGGTGTTGATATTGGGGACTCACACGGAATGCGGAAAACATGGAGTCAGTTGCATTATTACAGTTATAATTGACAGTATTTTCTGGCTTAGTGTTGAACTTAGAACATTATTATCTTAGACTGACAGGCAGGCGATGATTTGTGACGGAAACTACGTATTATCGCTGTATGTATTCTATAAATTCTAGCGAACTCCGTTTTTGGTTGCAGGATAATTTTTCCCAAGTACCATCTTACGCGAGCGCACTTTCTGGCTTTCGCTGGTGGATTCGCCATTACCTATGCCGACAGCGTGACGAAGGATCCCCGCCGAAAACCGGGGAGAAACGCCCGTATTGTAGAGATTATCGGAGTGGGCATCGAGTACCTGACGGAAGCATCGGACATCTATACCAAGTTATTCGGGACGGTGTGCGACTTCGTCTTCGACATGCAGATGAGAATTCGTGAGGCCCAAGATATTCTCCGAGTAGCAAGACGTGGCTAACTGGATAATACTGTAATGGACAGTGTTAGGCGGCCAGTTCATGGTTTTATTAACTAGCTGTTTGAATAATTGCATTTTTTCAAATCCTTAATGCGTCGATTTAGATGATAATCAGAATATTATAAACCTAACTAGATAGTAATAAGTAATTATTCTAAAAACTGTGAATTTGCGTGGGAATCGCACGCAGCGGTTGGCAAAACGTTCTGAACTCGTGAAACGTCTTTAGTTGTGTCGCACATGTTATGGTTAGATATTATAGCAATAAAGTTACTTCAATGTGCATCGGTATCTAGTGACTTGATATAAACCGCTGCGATGCAGCGGCCATATTAAGAATTTCAGAGAAAAGCGAGAACGAAAAATCCATTATTTGACGGCTTTAACTTGGAAAAAAAGGGAACCTATAAAAATGATAAATCAGGAATTAGCAGCCGTCAGCCGATATGATTCTTTGCAGCAGTTAATTTTATAAGGACAAGTGCCACACGAAAGGTTTAGTTAAACACAACTCGATCGCCGGAAGACGCATTTCGCTTAGATGATATGCACACTATTAGCGGCCTAACACTTGCCGCAGAAACAATAATTCTTTTTGCCTTTTATTTCGATCCAGATTTATCAAAGTCACGAAGAATGTTGGGTTTTATATGGCTGCTGCTTAAGTGCTTGTTGCTGCTAATGCTGTGGATGGCTAGGTTTCACTTAATTTTCTCTTTACTCAGGAGGTAGGCTCCTGATTAATTTTTGTTTCTACATGCCGTGTTTAATGAATAATGAGCCAGCGATACTATTTTTTCCTAAGGGTTCTGAGAGGGGCTCTTTTTTCGGGTAGGGTTTGTGATTCAGAAAGGGTTTGTATTAGTTATACAGGCTAATACTGTAGACTAGAGTATCGTTTCGCAGATTTCGTTCGACTCTTTTGTATCAAAATAAAGACTTTGTCGATAATTGCTCTTCGTAAAGTCCGTAATAACCATTACAATGTAAAAAACATTCGTTATGCTTCATTTGTAAGTCTGATAACTTACTGTAAGATTTTGTTCTTGTGATTAAGTGTTTTCAATCTGTTTTGTGTGTAGTATTGTGTACCCCAAAATAAAGCATCTACTGTAAGTGGTAACGGTATGGCTTCGGTTTTGTATTTCGGGAAGGGCTTGAAAATCAGAAAGGCCACGAACTGATGAATCACAAGACAACTATAGTCTATAGACTATACAATGTACGACAAAAAGAGGTTGAACCGATCAGTCGGTCCGCGGTTCAAAATAACCTCGCAACGACACGCCACCACTAAAACTTGGACGCTTACTCACTACTTTCAGACGCTCGCGCTCCGTGAATATCAAAGTGCAGCTATACTAGTTGCATATCAAAAGGTGTAGAAACAAATTTTAAACTTTTTGATACTAAACCTGTGGCTGTTTATGGCGAACAGCACAAATTCTAGCCATTTTGCTTTCCCATAGACTTAAGCATTGATTGCAAGCCAAACGGTTATGCGCACAGATCCTATGTTGTGCCTACGAGAAAGCAAAATGGCTAGAATTTGTGCTGTTCGCCATAAACAGCCACAGGTTTAGTATCAAAAAGTTTAAAATTTTTTTCTACACCTTTTGATATGCAACTAGTATAGCTGCACTTTGATATTCACGGGGCGCGAGCGTGTGAAAGTAGTGGTGGCGTGTCGTTGCGAGGTTATTTTGAACCGCGGACCGACTGATCGGTTCAACCTCTTTTTGTCGTACATTGTAGTCTATAGTCTGTTGACAACTATAGTCTATAGACCATACAAAGGTGAACTAATATGTTAAACTACCCGGCTCTTTTAGCTTTTACTGATACCATCATTTCAGGGTATATCGTTGATTAGTTTGTTTACGTGCAAATTTTCAGCATCATCTTCTTTCTACTAAAGTGCGGTCATGCAGTTCCGTGGATTAACGTCAAATAACGGCACCGCCCCACGTTTCTCTGTTGCGTGGCTAAGTATCCTTTGACTAATTTATCTAATCAAGATTTTGCTGTGCTTTGCGTATGTGCTGCTCTATGTATCTGTACTGAGTGCACTCAGGTGTGAAGAACTTACGACTGTCCGGTTACGCCCACCCGGTCCGCATTAATAAAATGGCGGATAATACTTCGCAAGTGAAGGCATAATAAGTACTGTAAAACAATCCTAATACTGTTACGACAAAGATGATGCTTGCAATTTTGCTTTTGATCAAAGAAGCTTGCAGATAAGGGGATAAGCTTTCGTAGGCATCAAGTCCTGCGGTAAATTTGATTTGGGGGAACAGTTCATTCAACAAATTAATCAGTGCAAAGATTGTGTTCTTTTTCTGCAAGCTATGCGCTAATTCTGTGTCAACGTGCAGTACATAATGTCTCCGCCGACTTTCCGGCTTCTTTGGAAATTCACTTATTACAATATTGCACACATATTTCTCCGGATTACGTATATTAAGTAATTTTTACTAAAAAAACCGTGCTATCTGCAAAAAATGTCTTGCACCACTGTAATAAAATGTTAAAAAATCTTTAAAGCCAAACTGTTTAAATTTACTAAAATCCTATATATGCCGGATAGCCATCTCTATTTGCGTATCGGGTTTTGCGTGAGCTTTGGTGGCACTTCTCAGTGCCGTACGTGACCCGGCTCTTCCGGTGTGCCATCGGGAAGATGTCTGTCGTCCAAGCGCTGACAGTATAACGTGTCGAAGCCTGTATCGGTAATCGGCTTTCATGGCAAAACAAACCGGCTGCAAAAACGACATACGAATTTCTGAACACTTACAACTTGAGAATTGTTTTGGCCGGGCCTTCAAAGCGTCCACCTGCTTACCGGATTCGTAGCGTAGCCAAGCAGCTGAACGACGGCCAGGCAGATTACCACGAACGGGTAATGCACATCCTCCTCCGTGACCTTTATGAATTCCACCATCACCGGGACGATCATGGAGCATGCTGCCGTCAGTATAAACGAGGCGCACATCATATTCGTCGTGTTCATGCGCTTCTTCAACATATCTTTCTGTGCCTGGCTCTCCGCCATCTCGGTCTCAATACGAGTCTTCCGGCTCCAGATTTTTACGTAGATATACAAATATAATCCCGCTGTAGACATCCCGGGAATATAGAAGCCGGTGACATACAGAAATTTGCCCATTGCGCCCTTCAGATAAGAGCAAAATTTCAATTTTCGGGCCATGTTTGAAATACATGTAGATGGTAAAATTGAAATTCTTGAGATTAGCGATACTGCGCTCGAATTTAAATTTTATTTACAGTTTTGAGCTTTTTGACGCAGAAACCATATTATTTAATTACATTACTTTAGTAATTATATTACTTTGGTAGCAGTCACCTCTTTACTTTGGAAGTTGTATTGTCACCCTTGCTACGTACTTTGGTACTGTAGTTTGGTACTCGTACTCGTTTGGTACTTTGGTACTCGTACTTTGGTACTGTAGTCATATTACTTTGGTAGCACTTTGGTAGTTGTTATAACCTTGTTAAAACCACGTTATTTCTTCTCTTAAATTTTCTCGCAACAAGCCGCTTAACTTGGAATTTATTTAAAACTGTAAACTGAATTTTTTTGCTGTCTTTCTTTTGATTAAAACTATTTCAAAACAATTGCGTGGGTCAAAGGTAGCCGTTCAAATAAGGAAATGATTTAAAAATAATACGGAGCTAGAAACGTAGGCATGTGATTTCAACCATACCTTCGGCAAACCAGCGCATGTTATGTCTGTTATGTCTGTTATGTCTGTAATACTTATATAGATCGAAATGGGTGCTATAATACTTATATAGATCGAAATGGGTGCTACCTACCTGATACTAGCGTCCGCCACTCCCACTCTGACCCACCCCAAAAGTTCCCGTCATTGAAGCGGCCGGTACTAAATGTGACCTTACATTTGCAAATCTGAAGATTCATTGCGTTCACCCGATTTCGAGGTTTCGATGAACCGGCTGAACCGACTATCAGACCAAAAAACGAACTATTGAACCTTTTTTTTCACGTCAAATCATTCTGGGTAGTCGGCAAAGACTTTTTTCAAAAGGTCACCAACCAGAGTTATACACTATAAATGGTCACGTGACCACCGAATCTATGGTTAGGAAAGGTCACCCAGGTGACCTTTTACCAATTTCTGACTCAGGAAGAAAAACTAATAGTATTTGCCCATAAAAAACAACGTTGAAATTTGAAATTACCGAAACTCATTAAGCCACGCCCAAAAACCAAGTTACATAGGTAACACGTAACCAAAAGATGTGACCGACATGTATTTCATACTATTTTTGCTCAAAAAGACGTGACATTTCAAACAAAGAAGAAATCGTCGCAGTTACAAGTAACTTACACGGTAACCGACTATATGTCATGGTAACCAATGCAGTAACAGGTGCCGTTACAACGGTAGTAGCTGATACTGCTATCATTTTGGTACCGGTTTTAGTAGTTACATTAGTAGCGGGCACCGCTACTAATTTAATAACGAAAATTGGTACTACAGTGATAGCGGGTACCGCTATCACTGTAGTAACGGGTACCGTTACTACAGTGGTAACGGGCACCGTTACCATGTTGGTAACGGGTTACCAACAATGTTTACAGAGCAAACTGTTGCAAACAGCGTCGCAAATGAAGCTAACGACTTGGCAATTACAGCAGACTGTATGGGATGTCAAATAGGGGTGCTTTGGACTTGGTTACATATGGTAACCATATATATTACAATGGTAACGCTACCGTTACCAAAGGTCATGGGGTCAGATATCAAAATCTTTTACTTTTTTGGACTCAGGAAGAGAAACTGATCAAAACCGTCCATAGAACACGTAGTTTTTGTGCCACCCGGCCATTTTCACTTAAACCCCGCCTCCCAACGATCCGGATTGGTCGGTGGGCGTTATTATGTCTGTAATACTTATATGATTAGGAAGGGGTGGTACCTACCTGATACGAACGTCCGCCACGCCCATCCTGACCCACCCCAAAAGTTTCCCTCATTAAAGCGGCCGGTACGATCGTTTTGTTCAAAATATTTACTGCACTGGAACGCTCGTATTTTTTAATGAAGAAACCGA